ACCACCAGTAAAAATGCCTCTCGGGTATTTATTTTTTCCCGGCCAAGAAGACATTCAAACTTTGGTAAAAGTAGAAATCTATTGGCGCAAGGTCTGGTGAGGTATTTTTTTAATTGTCCTTGTAGACTAGCAAACGGCCGACCTGATGGTGTGTGGTTACCGTCGTTCATGGACGTCAGCCATATCAGGGGCTGCCAAGCCGCTGCCTACCGTTAAAGTAGTACAGTGGATGACGCCAAACTTTCAACCATAGATCTAACGCCTTAGAGACTGTCTGTCGTGCCATATGTCGTCGAGCGTTGTCGTTAAAAACAACACGGACGAATGATTAAGAGAGGCTGGCCTGAGATTCGCGAGCTTCTCCTTCATTGGGCCCAGTTTCCGTGTCAGCAGTAATGCTGGTGCCATTTAGTTAGAAACTGTAATGAATTATACCGTCACTAGACCACGGTAACCAGTAACCATGATTTTTAGGGCTAAATTATCGTTTGAGGCCCTGCCTAGGTGCTGAACCAGGGTCTAACGTACTTCTACTAACTCTTCCTCTTGATAATCGTAGGTGGTCATCAGAATGCCATCCAACTATTATTCATCTCAAGTGACAAATTGACAAATATTGTTTTGATGCTAATCGTTGAAAGGTACTGCTAGCTCAGTGGTAAATTGAATATCGTCAGCATCCACTATAGCTTTTGATTCTTCGTGTTGTCTTTAGTTTTTGAGGGACCACAGGGTTAATTTTTTAGATCAAAGCTTCCATATCGGAAGCGTTCAACCCAATAACGAGTTCTGCGTTCGTTTGTAGCATTCACTCCGTACATGTCATTAATTTTATGAGCCATTTGTACTACCACGACGGAACTCTTATTTCTTAATTACTCGTGTTTATATCGTATCCATATTGATGAAAAATATACGGATATAGTGAAAACAAAATACTAATTAATAAACAAAAACTTAATAAAAAAATTTAATTCTATATTTTGAAATAAAGTTCATTCGAATATAGAATTTATTTGTCGCCAATAAGAAATTACGTTTCAAGTGGCCAGTATTGTAAAACGGAAACTAAGGTAAAGACCTATTATTGTATTTTAATACGCTTTTATTAGCTTGATTTTATTGTGCGCCATGATGATGATGATTAGCTTCAGACATATGTATGTTAGTATGTATGTTTGTAACAGAATCTTTGAACATGGTTTTGACCCCCTTCAAAACGTCAGATTAACTCGAAATTTGGTATACTTATTAAGGACCGATGACAATAAAATATAAAAAAAAATTAAAAAAATTTATGAAAAAATTGAAATTCAACTAAAAAATGAAAAATAAATAATAGTTTAAAAAACTAACACAATATGCTTTTATAGAAAATCAAACTAAAAAACAGAAAATAAATTTTAATAAATTTAAATTAAAAATAGTGTAAGAAAAAATGATTTTATTGTAAAAAGTGTATTTTAATTCAAATTTATTACAATTTATTTTGTATTAGCTTAGTAACTCGACTGATGTCGAATATTATCTTCCACCCTTTAAGCCAGAGGGCATATAATTACAAAGTCCCAAATAATATACATTACTGCTAGTTCATTTTTGAAAACAAATCAAAATATTTATTTAAATTTAAATGACTATTGATTTGAATTGCGATAATACTTGTAATTCTGAAGTATTTGACGTAAATCTTCAAAATGAATATTTGCATTAATAATTCGTTAATAAGTCGTTAATTTCTAGAGGTGGGTGACGGTAGACACATTGCTTTACATGGGATCCAGAAACCAGCTAACCTCAGTTGGAAAGCAAGCTTGCCTGCCTGTAAAATAAAATAAAAATTATAATTAAAAGAAGAATAATTTAAAGAAAAGAAAATTATAAGAAAGACCCAAGTCAAAAAACGATTAGTTCGTTCTGTGTAAGATAAATAATAAATTTATATTTTTTTAATTTTACTTTTTATTAAAGTGTCATTATTATTAAGATTTTTTATTGCTTAGATCGTTGGACGACATCACGGCCCGCCTGGTGTTAAGTGGTTACCGGAGCCCGTAGTCATCTACAGCGCAAAAACCGCCATCCATCTCGAGACATAAGTTCTAAGGTCTCAGTTTTTACAGTACAAAGTATTGAAAACGTCAGAAATAACATGATGAAAATAAAAAAAACTAAAGCATAAATAGAGGGAGGCAAACTAAAGCATAAAGAGAATAAAGCGTAAAGTACTTAGTTTTAATTAGGTTTACGACTCGCCAAGTCCAAAGAATATATTAAATAAACTACTACGCGAAGCTCTTATTTTATGAAAACATTGCGTTTTTACATTTAACCAAAAAATAGTACACAATGCGTTAAAAGTAGATAAAAATAGAAGTAAAATATTCCAGGAAATTCACTCAGACGAGCTTAATTGAATTTCTCGGGACCACCGTAAATTACACTGACCAGTGACCACAGCCACCAGTTTAGCACAGATCCAATTAATAAGAACGGTTCAGGTCCTGGGAAAATAGCGGTCCCAGCGCCAAACAAACAAAACGGTTGGATAACCAATTCCATTCAACTCATTAACCGGGTTTGTCCGTAATTAAATATTGAGTTGAGGTATAATAAAACAAGACTAGTGTAATGGCCATTATAATTTATTAAAAAATGATTAAAATAAATTTTACAAGTGTTTTATCTCGATCTCGCACAGGCTATCTTCGTCTAGGTAGTTCTATGTAAATTTTTGTCTCTTTTTAATGTCGCTTACGAGCGCCATTTCCGTTTCATCGAATTTGAATCACAACGTTACCAAATAATTGTTCAGTTTAAAATCTTAGAATGAAGTGACACAATACAGGATTATGCATAACGCGCCGAAATAAAACTAAACTTAAAGATACTCAGTAATAATGTCTCATTTAGATAATCATGGAGTATAGACAACTGAGGTTGTATATAAACAACTTCCTCCAGTTTATTTATTATTTATTTGAAGTCGTCGTGGCCTAAAATATAAGACGTCCGGTGCATTCGTGTTGAAGCGATGCACCGGTGTTCGAATCCCGCAGGCGGGTACCAATTTTTCTAATGAAATACCTACTCAACAAATGTTCACGATTGACTTCCACGGTGAAGGAATAACATCGTGTAATAAAAGTGAAACCCGCAAAATTATAATTTGCGTAATTACTGGTGGTAGGACCTATTATAAATCCGCGCGGGTAGGTACCACCGCCCTGCCTATTTCTGCCGTGAAGCAGTAATGCGTTTCGGTTTGAAGGGTGGGGCAGCCGTTGTAACTATACTGAGACCTTACAACTTATATCTCAAGGTGGGTGGCGCATTTACGTTGTAGATGTCTATGGGCTCCAGTAACCACTTAACACCAGGTGGGCTGTGAGCTCGTCCTCCCATCAAAGCAATAAAAATAAAAATAAAATTTAGGACTCGCCAGAAATTGTCATCCCACGCTTCGAGGTTTTTCGGGACGAATCTTAAAGGAATCTTAAAGGAAATGTACTCTGCGTGTGTTTAAACGAGGCATTCCACAAAGCATTAGTAGTTATCGTTTTAAAGAGTTGTTGCAAATGATGTGACAATAAAAACCAGCAGCGTAACGACAAGTTCTTTTATTTGTGCAAGAATGCAGAAAAGTAGGTAGAAATGGCTGGCACGGCTTGTTTTATTAACACTATCCCCCCTTCGTTGGCTTTGGCTGGCGGCGGTGGCGGTGGCTGTGGCGGAAGGGGGCGTGTTAATATGGCTTGGCGGCTTGGCTGGCGGCAGGNGACAAGTTCTTTTATTTGTGCAAGAATGCAGAAAAGTAGGTAGAAATGGCTGGCACGGCTTGTTTTATTAACACTATCCCCCCTTCGTTGGCTTTGGCTGGCGGCGGTGGCGGTGGCTGTGGCGGAAGGGGGCGTGTTAATATGGCTTGGCGGCTTGGCTGGCGGCAGGGCATGACAGCTGACGTCACGTCCGTTACAGAGTTCATATTTGGTGAACCCGCAATCTAAAGAGATAAAGGCAGGCACCTCCAGTATCATAAGATTATTGACCGCGCGCAGTATTGGATTCTGAATTAGGTCACTTTAAATGCGGTGCGAGAAAGGGCAGATTATTAAGAATTTTCTCTCATTTTTTTTCTTGTGTCGGCGGTAGGTATCCCTAGATGTACATCTAGGTAGAAAATGAAGGTAGTTAGTACTAACTACCTTCATTTTCGGAAATAACACGGCATATTATGAGTATTTATACATAACACTATAAACTAAAATAATAACTAAAGTAGTATTTATAATTTACGGCCGAACTATCTCATCGCAATGCCGGTTTTTATCACTAATCCATAAACCCTCAAAGGCAATAATCATCTCTTTGTTAATATTTCAAGGTTCAATTAACTATCTGTAGTTGTAATGTACATTATTATCGTTCTGTTACACAACACGTAAACAATAAATTGTTTATTTCTATTGATAAAATTACATTTTATTTCGCCACCGTAACCGTAACGTCTACTCATCAAAGTTTTTACTCGTATTTCAAAATAAACACACTTCTTTTCAGGTGGCGGTGGAGTTGTTAATTAAAGTGACAAAACAAAAATATTAATTGCTCATAATAATAGAAAAAAATTAATGTCACAATATCGTCACTAGTCGCTATCAAGCGGTTAGTGGAGGAGGACACCTGTTTTCGCGGAGTTGCGTTATATGCGCCGACGCAGTGGGATGTGATTCACTACGACCGCACTGTATAGCAAGCATACGTCGAGGTGCGATAACCGACCTCCGCAGTCTTGCCAAGTTTTGCTCAACGGACTTCGGAGTGGCTCGCAGCTCTCAGATATACGCTTGTGCTGAAACAGGCAACAGCGCGAGACGTCACGACCGATCTACATACAACTAACACACTGGCCGCAGTTAATAGTTACATAAAAATATTTGTGACACGTTGCGCTGTCAAGCAGCTGCCGTGGGTAAATAAACAAAGTGTGCGCGTGTCATTGACCGAACCGGTGACCCTCATTTAAATTAGAAAATCGAAGCGGATGTTCTAAAAGTTTTTTTAACCGGATCAAAATGACTTCGCGATCAAAAGAAAAAGTGGCGGCTGCATTCCGGAAATTGTTTCGGTCGCCGGATAAACTGGATAACGAAGGCGCCGGTCCTAGTGGCTCTCCAGCCAGGCGCGGCCTACTTCGGCGACACAGGTAACGAATAACTCAATTGAATATGCAATTTCGAAAAGGGCACATTTCTGAAAATGTAAAATGTTCAGGTAATGAAAAAAAAACTGATTATTTTCTAAAGCAGTGTAAAATTTAAAATATTAACTTTTGAGATATATTTTAGTGTTAATTAGCAATTGAAAATTACTGGAATTATTATAAAATGGGTGTAGGTAACCCTCAAAACTACATATACCTATATGAAAAAACGTATTTGACAAAATATGCGACATGTGCCCTTTTCGAAATTGCATATTCAATTATTTATAGAGTTGTTATATCTTTCCTTGGAAGTGTTAAATTAGAAATACGTTTTTTTTTTTTTTTTTTTTTTTTTATGATTGAAGGATTACTGGTGGCCCACGTTTTTCTCTCTCAAGTCCTTCAATATAATAATCGAAGACGTAATAGTGTTCGTGTGATGTTTGATAGCATTCAGATAGCTAGCAGTCGCGAACTTTCAAGTTTGTATGACCAATTCAACTAATATTTGTACAACCCTCAAATGAAAAAAATAATATAACACCTAACTTATGAATTATGTTACTTATGATAATAATTCAAACTTCCACATATACATACGAAAGCTGTATTTTTATTATTTCACATCTGACGTCATTAAAGTAGTATACAAAGAATTCGTAATGACGTATGATAAGTCTATTCAGGCAACATTGAAACGAGACAAGTATGTAAATATACTTTAATGGTCGTCGGTTTGACGACATAGACCTGCTGTAGCTTGGGCTCATTGTGTTTAACGAATAAACACCAATTAAGACTGATACACATTGTTTGTTATGCAACTCATAACTCATAAGTTCATTAGTAGCTACATTTAATTTTGTAATCACAATTCTTAACATGTTAATAACATGCTATGTAATTTATTATAATAATGAGACCATCATTTAATAAAGCTATAAGATAAAGTATAAGCCTATGCCCTATGCTATGTGCAATGCCTGTAAAAATGCTATACTGCCAGTGTAAGCTATAACTTAAACGAATTGCTATTGACCTAATAGCCGAAATCTGTTCGGTAGCAATTCGATAATAATAATAACAATAAATTACGAAAAAGAAATCCCGATTGGAACAAAATAAAATGAGAATATCATCAATGTAGTCTACAATTGATATGAGTGAGTTCCATTCATATGAAATATGAGTGAAAAAAGGGATTAAGTACCATTTTTAAGATTTTTTAGTTTTTACATCGAATGAAAGTGTTCTTCTTCTTCTCCATCGCTCCCTCATTGCTGAGGATCGTAACTCCGATTGAGCTTGTCAACTGCCAGTCTCCATCGGTTCCGGTCAGTTGCCTGGTGTAGTGCAGCGCTAAGTTGTCCGCTGGTTTGCTCGGAGATCTGGTCGGACCAACGTTTGGGGCTCCGGCCTCTAGGACGTTTTCCTTCTACTTTTCCAGTGACCATCAGACGTTCCAAGTTGTCTACACCTCTGCGGACAACGTGGCCAAAGTAGCGCATTATGCGTTGCAGACAGGTGACAGACAGGCGTTTAGTGTTCTACATTTTAAGCTGTTTTAGGACAGAGATGTTCGTGCGGTGGGCATTCCATGGAATCCTTAATAGGCGGCGCCAACACCACATTTCAAAAGTATCAACTCTGTTTCGGTCAGCTGTGAATGAAATGAAATGAAAATGTTATGTGCCTATAAAACATATTAGACCTTAAAACACAGAGTTTAAAGGCTATTTTTAGAAACTGCATGTGATGAAGTAGTTATGTACGAAGAAAAACTAGGTACAAGTAACAAAAGTTTGTTACTCTGTTTTCTCAAAATTAACAAATTGTATCATATCCCCTTCACCCACTCATGTCTTCAATTATTGGCGATTCATCTAGAAAAAAGTTCTAAGGTAACTCACAAAAAAATTCAATCGTATTCAGAACCTTCCTCTTTTTTGTAGCCAATTAACGAAACCAAGTACTATTGTTGTGAGTTTCCGTGAATTATTAAAAATTAAGATCAAGGTAGCCTATCAACACGCACGCTTCAAATCATAGTTTGATAAGGTCATTGCTAAATGGTCAGGCAAGCTCGTACGAATAAGGGCGTCCAAATATAAAACAATTATAACGCTTTTCAATGTCTTATTCCAGATTTTTTTTCATAGATTATTTGTCATTGCCACGTACAGCGTATGAATATTATGTCGTATACCGAATGAAGAATTTTGGAAAGTTTTTAAGTTGCAATTATTTTCGATAAACACAATTAATATACACCTGTTTTGTATGCATCTAGATGTATTTATCTAGATCTTTTTCCTTTGTCGTATCACTCTTGTCAGAGCGGTCGTGGTCGTCATTCAGTATCATTGCTGTGGGTAGATGTTATGCTATAATAATAATCATAATATATTTTCAAATTTCAAAACGGCAGACGTGGTCAAATGGATTTAAAATTAAAAATCGATACCTGAGCGCTCGGCGCGTCCACCACTTTGAGCTTAATGAGTCCTTACCTCATGCATGGTGGGTATAGGGGTCTCAATGTAAAAAATTCAGGTCTGGTCAACTACATACAGGTAGCCGCCCGCGGGCTCTTAGACTAAACATGCACAACATAGAAATTATCCTTTTTGTATCACACTATCGTTAGTTTATTTATGTAACCCCTATTCATCGAAATTGCACGGGCTCCCACTATCGTATTTGTTGATATTATGGTAGAAACCTTGTTTCAATCTAAAAACAACTGTACAAGTTTCATAACAATCGCATCAAGCTTCTGTCAAGCACAAGTAGTACTATTTCCCAACAACATTCTATAGTAGTATCCTGACTGTATTTTTCTCCTAATCGATCCTCTAATTCTTATGTTGTGTAGTAGATAAGGCGTCTTGTTAGCCCATTTCACGTCATTACGGATCCTCCCGATCCATAAACGGTGCTTTTAAGTACCACAAGCACCGCTCACCGTCCTCGTCGAACCCGTCCCATGCGACGAAGGGCTCGACGAGCGAACTAACCCATAGACACAGCCCACTGAGTTTCTCGCCAGATCTTCTCAGTGGGTCGCGTTTCCGATCCGGTGGTATATTCTGCGAAGCACTGCTTTTGCTAAGGCCAGTGTTAGCAACACTTCCGGTTTGAGCCCCGTGACTCGTGATGTTAGGGTGAAGCTGAAATAGCCTCTCAAGGCTATCAACATAGGTAGGAAAAAAAGTTAGCCCTCACAGGGCCTTACTCATAAGCCTTTGGCAATAAAATTGAAACTTCGATCTTATGTTTCAAGGCGAGCAACAGCATTGACTATGAGCCTAAGTATTCTGTGAGCTATAATGAGTGAGAAATAACAATAACAGCGTGTTAAAAGTGATGTGTATTCTTAATATGGTTTCATAGATTTTAGACACCATCAAAAAGAGTGTGCAGTAATAAGTCTAGACCATAAATCTGTTTTTCAGACAAGTCTGAGTTCAGTGTTTTTACAGATTCAAAAAAGTTTAATGCACGAAGTCGTTAAATTTAGTGCATTAAATAATAATGACATAAATTGTGAAACTAAATCGATAAGTATGTATATAAGTCTAAAAATGTGTATATATGAATATATGAAACGCTATGGCCCACTTTTCAATCTCTACTCAAAGTTTTAAGCTATAATCACAAATGATTTTTTTTATTGCTTAGATGGGTGGACTAGCTCACAGCCCACCTGGTTGTTGTTGTTGCTGGAGCCCATAGACATCTACAACGTAAAATGCGCCACCCACCTTGAGATATAAGTTCTAAGATCTCAGTATAGTATCAACGGCTGCCCCACCCTTTAAACCGAAACGCATTACTGCTTCACGGCGGAAATAGGCAGGGCGGTGCTACCTACACGCGCGGACTCACAAGAGGTCCTACCACCAGTCTCCAAACTCAATTTTGTTTCTATTCAATCATATAACAGGAAACCGACTTGAACTTATTTGTTTATAGAAGAAACTACATATCCGTATATTTACAGTTCGATAGATTACCACACGGCAGTTGTCCGTGTGACAATGGCCGTTAATTTCGTACGAAATTGAAATCTGATGCTGCGTTGTTTCACAATACCTACCTGCAGCGAGTAAACAAAGGCATTGTTTGCCTGCTAGCCGATGCTCTTAGATTGGTTGCATAACGTGCATATATAACCTATGTGTGTGCGTATTAAATATGCTAAATATATACCGATACGGATAGATATAACATTTTAATACAAAGATGTTGAATTACACTAATCGATGTTTTTTGTGAAAAGAAAAATAATGTATTGGGAAAAATGTTATCATACTACTACTGTTGCTACTACTAGTACTGTTACTGTATCTTATTACTGGTGGTAGGACGTCTTGTGAGTCCGCGCGGGTAGGTACCACCACCCTGCCTATTTCTGGCGTGAAGCAGTAATACGTTTCGGTTTGAAGGGCGGGACAGCTGTGGCTGTTGTACTGTTAAAAGTGAGACCTTACAACTCATGTCTCAAGGTGGGTGGCGGCATTTACATTGTAGATGTCTATGGGCTCCGGTAACATCAGGTGGGCCGTGAGCTCGTGCGCCCGTATAAACAATAAAAAATTAAACAGATATAGACGTACATAATTCTCTGTCGGAGTTAAACATTTTCTTGTATCCAAGGTATATTTGAGAAACTATAATAAAGGAGAAAACCCAAGCTTTTGATTGGATATGTAACGATATTACTACCGCAAATCTGTCTCATGCGTAACGGTATGAAGGGTAAAAGACAGTTATACAATATATTCACGATCTTCTTATTAAAATAAGCGTAATTAAGTGATGCAATCCGGTCCTTGCCGCTTCGGCTCCGGGGCCGACGGACCGACATTGTGATTTAAATTTATATTTACAATACACATTAGATTTTTTATAGTTGGGCGAGCCATCTGATAAGAGACGTTGAATCATGTGACGAATCTAGTATTCATCGTCATATGTAATAAAGTGCAACAAGGAATTGTTGCACATTACTTTCTTTGTGATAGACAATTCTTTGTGTTTCTTTGTTCGATAGATTGTTTTTCACGAAACATCCCGCTGCTTTTTTACGTAAGAATAAAAAATGATTCAAAATTTACACTATTTTTTTTAAATATTTAAAATAGTTAACATTAAAACAATAATTGTCAGCGCTTGATGTGTTCTGTTATTTCAATTAAAATGCTTTTTTCACTGATTTCTTTATCAAATCTAAAGTATTTCTACACGATGAAGTGCAATGTATCAAAACATGCTATTTTTAGCACAGAAATTACATATATTTGATGACTTATTTGTTTTTCTGCATTTACGTAATTTAGTTTGGGTAACTCATTTATATACCTGATACCGAGTCAATGCTCTGTGACACTCACTTTTCAAATTATTTAAAGCGATTACGAAAATAATTAATAAATAATAACTATTGATTTGCAAGTATAACTTTACATAAATGTACCCACGCAGATTATTTTGATATCAGCGTATATTGAATTGATAGGTGCTGAATAAAAACGAAGCAAGTATAAGTTTTAATATTTCACTCATTGTGTACTTACATGAGATTTTTACAGTGTGAGTCTTTCATTAGTGTATTGTCCTTAAATTTGTCTTTTTTTTTTTAAATGAACTCTGAAAATTCTTGTAACTGCTCCAAAATTAACGTGGACGACCTAAATTCAGAAATAAATCATTCGTGTTTGTTTTAATGGGTCGTTCTTACAGGGATTTTAACACAAATATCCTAAATTACTCTTGAGAGCTTTAAACAGTTAGCAATTTATCAACTCACGCTACCAATTCATTTCAATAATTGTTTTAATTTGCCAAAATATTTTGATATGAAACTGAGTAAAGTTAATCCTGACAAATCCTAAAATTTTAAGGATCCCGTTGGTAAGCCGTTATTTTTAGGATTTAATAAAGATATCTAAAAATATATGACCACTAATTAAGGTAGATACCAAACCTAAAACAGAATAACAGGCAAAAACTATATGTTGTTTAAGCTCTCTAAAAAAATTAAACTCAATAAATATGTACAAAACGCTCAAATTGTTTCATAAAAAAAGTTTTACGGTTGATACAGCGAACTTGATAGCTCACACAAGTAGGTCCCACGTCCTGGCTACTGCACTAGACTTCGATATAATATGAACGTTAGTGAAAACATTCACGCTCTTTATGAGCCCGAGTAACCATAACACCAGTTCGCGAGTGAACTACCATCCACATTCCCGATCCTGCGGACCGAATGGAAAGCACTCGACGTCGCCCAGAACACGTCATTTCGAATCCTCCCGATCCACTAACGGTGCTTTTAGGTACCCCAACCACCGGTCATCGTTCTCGTCGAACCCGTCGCTTGCCTTGAAGGGCTCGGCGAGTAAATTAACCCACAGACACAGCCCACTGAGTTTCTCGCCGGATCTTCTCAGTGGGTCGCGTTTCCGATCCGGTGGTAGATTCTGCGAAGCACAGCTCTTGCTAGGGCTCGTGTTAGCAACGTCGTCAAGTTTGAGCCCCGTGAGCTCACTTACTAATTCAGCGAATCTAGAATAACCCCTCGAGGTTACTAGAATAGGTAGAAAAAAAAAAACCTACCATCCACACTAATTAAAATTATAACACTAAATCTACGTATCTATTCGGAGACTGTGATATAATACGCACAAATACAAAAACATAACATCCGAATTTATGCAATTGACAAACCTTTGTTTTGTGATTTTACGTTATGCGTTCATAACAATATCGTATTATGATTATATTCGTATGGGAACTTAACATAGTAGCAGCCTTTGTCGTGGGAATTGCAGACCGATAAAATTCCGCACACGTCTGCAGACTCGCGATCCGAGAATATTCAACGGAATTGCGTCTCGAATTGATACGTTGAAACATGCATTGAAATTATTTTATTTGCATTACTAGTAGCTATGATCTCTGATTATTTTACAAGTCAATTTGGATAGTCTCTTTGATCTATTGGTTAGGAACTCGTCTATACTGAACTACGGGCGTCCGGATATGACTCTGGAACGAAGTCAGTATTTATCAATAGCTCTTCTTTGCCTATAATGATAACAAAAGTGCCTATAATGATAAGCGTCCGTCGAGAAATCGGCTAGTTTGCAGTAGTCGCCTAAAGACTGGTTCTTATTATAAATGATTTTTTGATCCCATGTTGTAAATAACACCCACTGCAATTATGACATAAAGACACCTAATCATGATAATAATGAAGCTCGATAAAACAAAAAAGTCACACTAAATAGATGTAAAAAAAAACATCTTTAAGGTTTAACCTGCAAAAAAATTTGATAAATACACCTCAATGTCTCTACCACAAGTGTGAACCACAATCTTGTTTTTTGTTTGTGAAAAATACCTATTAAGCTGAATAAAGCCTTCTTGATTACGTCTTGATTAAAATTTGGTAACATCAAATTGTGTATATTCGAACTAAAGTGGTTAAAGCGGTTCCACCCAAAGACGATTTAAATTAAAAAAAAAAGATTGGCCAGGTTATAAAAGCCTTCAAGATTATATGATAAATAATTTTCAATGATAATCATTAGATGAAAGCGCTTTATGTTTTTGGACCTATGTACGTATCTGCTGTTTAAGTAATTAATGCCTATTCCTCGCCAGCATGGCGGCGAATGCTCTTCCCTGAAAAGACAAGCCGTATTAATTTATATCTGACAGAGTAATTAGTTTGGTGCCGTCACTCATGTAGCTACTATGGCGCCATTAAAAGCTAATAATTTTTAGAGTTTACCTCACGAAATGAATTCGCCACCAAAAGCTGTAAGCTTAGCTTGCATTTATGAGATAAGAGATGATAAAAAATGAGAACTTAAACCGAATACTATTTCAGGTGAATATTTTTTTGTTAGTTCTTCTTCCTATTCCTACACTCTTGACAGAGTGGTCGTGGTCATACATCAGTCGGATCCTGCGATACCGATGCGACGCCATGTGGCACGATGTTTCGCAGAGTGAGAGCAAACATTTATGTTGGAGTGAGTCACAGATTTTATGAGGTCGGTCCATCGTGTTGGAGATCGTCAGCGAGATCTTTTGCCCTCGACTTTCCCTTGCACCACCAACCGCTCAATGGAGTCCTCATTACGAGTGATGTGCCCGAAGAACTTGAGGATTCGTAATTGGACTGTTGACGATAGTCTCTCCTTGATGTTGAGCTCTTTCAGAATCGAAATGTTGGTACGGTGCGCGGTCCACGGAATTCTGAGGAGACGTCTCCAACACCACATTTCCAGTGCGTCAATCTTACGACGGTCTTGCATCCTCAGCGTCCACGTCTCAGCCCCATACAGAAAGATTGGAAAGACCAGGCATCTCATTAACCGAACTTTTGTGTTTTTGGTTATTCTGTGGTCTCTCCAAATCTTTGTTAGCCTCTCAACTGAGGATCTTGTCACGGCGCAACGTCTTCGGATCCCATCTTCGCAGCCTCCAGCGTTGGTGATAGTGGAGCGGATTTTTGTTAGTGTATCTACTTAATTAAAGATTTCTAAAATGTTGTATCTCATACATACATAATTCGCCTTTTCGCATTAAAAGTGTACAATTTCCAAAAATGTTTGAAATTGAGTAAATATGCGTAAACATTTGGTATCACCGATATTTTTCTCATCAGTACACTCAAAAGACGTAATTTAGTTTTAGTTTTTTTTTAGTTCTCCTATGTTTTGACTACTATTAGCAAAATGAATATATAATTTTATTTTACTATAAAAGACAGATAATGTAATTGGTAAAAAATAAAAAATAAATTTTGCAATTATTAGACTATTACTATTAAACCTTTAAAACACTCTTCTGTCAAATTAGTTAGTTTTGAGATTATACAGTTTTAATGCGAGAAGACGAATTGTATAAATAATTATGAAGTTATAAATGATTTTTATTAACACGGAAATCAAAGAAAGATAGACAATGATCGATCGATCAATCAATTGCGCAAACTTAAAAATCTTAGGACTCTTATTAGAATTTTTATTACAAATAATAATAATATGTATTAATTTGCAATGTTTAACAATATACGAAATTGAAGATGTGTAAATAAAATATCAGACGGTCACAGGTGTTTAAAATTCCGAAACCTCATTATTTACATTGAAATTTTATATCTCAGTTCGTTGTTTAGCATATTATCACGTAATTAATAAGCAAATGTAATTTGATACGTTAGAGTTTCGTTTAAGAAATGCATAATTAGAAAGTGGAACACTCATAATAATGATTTTGACTCAGTGACATATTGAATAAATTAACTTCACAAACCTAGTTTCTGTGAACACTTACGATGAGGTCACAAGTATTCCGTAGGATCATTTGTCTTCGAAGATTTTTTTATTGCCCTTGTATGTAGACGACCGTGCGGCCACCTGATGGTGAGTGGTTACCGTCGCCCATGGACTTCAGCAATGCCAGGGGCAGAGCCAAGCCGCTGCTCATACTTAATACTCTCCACAAGCCTCGTTTGAAGAAGGACATGTCATAGCGCTCGGGAAACACAGTGGAGGGAAGCTCATTCCAAAGCCGGATGGTACGTGACAAATAAGATCAAGCGCACTGTGGATGAACGCGGTGGTTTTAGCTAGTATGGATGAACTCTACTCTGGTAGCGCACCTCAGAGCACTCCCCACGGAACAAACGGTACAAAATACAGAGGGAACCGAAGTCCCTCCGCAGACCAAAAGGTTCCAAACGATCCGTGAGATAAGAACGCAATCTAACTTTACAACGTTCGAAGTCGTTTTTTTCAATTCAAACAAAGTTTAAATATTTAATTTCTAATTTATATGTACTGAGCACTAGGTATTTTGCAATAGTGAAGAAAGTATCTGTTCATTGTCCTTCAGTAGTCACATAATTGCATTTCCGGTTTTCAGAGATGGCGTAGGACCAGCGGAGGCGACCGCTAGCTTGCCGGCGAGTCCGGGAGCATCCTCACTTGTAAAGAAGAAAGTACCGGGAGCCACCGAAGTACGTGATAGGGCCGCTGCAGTGCGTACGAGGCGTCTTATGAAGGAACTGAAGGAAATCAAACGACTGCAGGAGAGCCGACCCGACCCTGTGTTTACGGTTGGTTTGATTTTATTAAAGCTCTTTTCTATTTTGATCCGTTGTACCTTGTATCCAATTTTATTTGATTACTTATTGAAATAAAACCTTTTTTAATTATACTTAGTTGGTAATAATATCTTCTTTTTTTACTATTATTGTATTATTTTCTACGCATCGAATAGGTACTTTCAGTTTTCGTGGTCACAGACAACTAAGGTGATATTCGATGACTTTTAAATATTGTGCAAGATTCGAATATTCGAAACATCGATAATAACAATAATAACAATAAAAATACTATTTTAAACTATAAAGTAGTTTTAATTTGGTTTATGGCTTGAGAAAATGACTATATTGCAATTGCTTACTTTAAGGGCTATCTTATCGCGGTTTGAAATGTATTTTTCAGTTTTCTTGCCAGCCTTGTAAAGTATTTTATAAGGCGCTTAGATAGTATTTCAGGTTTATTGAATTCATCTTAATCTATAAATCAATTTAAAAACAAATTACTAGTAATTTATAACGATTAAGCAATAACGTTTTGTGGAGACTCTAATAACTACCCTATTGTATTTGTGCGCGAATAATTTCTCCGCTTTTATTCCTTAATATTCTCAGGAATGAGAATCATGATTTTTACGTATAGCATTATCACGGTCTATAGTCATCCTAGTCCTGTTATGTCCGAAAAGCTGCACATATTGACTGTTATCTGTTCTGTCTTATTTGTTTATTTACAGTTTTTTAAAGCGCAAATTTTTCTCTCGACCTTTTCTGACAAAAAGTCTAGTAATGGAGATTTCTACGAAGGCAAACTTATGCTCTGATAATTTAGATAAGGAAACATATATTTTATATTTAAAACTATATTCACGCTCGTCTCATAAGTACTGTTTAACTTTTGACAGCTAAGGAATTATTGTTTTTCCTGCACTCAGGTGGAGCTTGTCAACGACAATCTTTTCGAGTGGCACGTGAGGCTGCATCAGATCGATCCAGAGAGTGATCTTGCCACAGACCTACGAGAACTGCACATTCCGAACATCCTCTTACACTTAGTGTTCCCAGAGAATTTTCCATTTGCACCGCCGTTTATGCGTGTCATCGAACCGAGAATAGAGAAAGGATTCGTTATGGAAGGTAACAAAATAAAATATATGTAACTATTTTTTTGTTATTATTTACGTAAATTATTGTTCAAAAAAAAATTCGTGTACGTATTGACAAAATTAAATATCAACTAGCTATTCATTCTTGGTGCGAACAGTCATGCGTTTCAATTTAAAGAGTGGAATGGCCGTTTTAGGTGATGATTGAGACTTCAAATTAGGTGACGGCATTCACGTTAATATGCCCATTGACACATGCATATCGGAAAACATATAATATATACAACGGAAAAAAATCCATCTTGATTTTAAAGAAAACATATTTTTTAAAACGTTTTATTAGCATTAATTACGCTCCAGAAACATGATGGAGCGTAAATAACGGTAATATCGTTTCATAAAAAATACATTACTAAAAAAACCAGCAATGAAACACAAAATCAAAAACAGCTGATGCTCGGATCAACGATCAATATATTTGTTATATACATATATGTTTTTTTTTTTAAATCAGGAACGATTTTTTTCCGTCCCATCATCAAAGGCGTCATTAGTACTATCGTCTGTCTTCGTTTTCGGAAGCGGTCTCCTAACACCCAGTATATGTGTATATATTGTCAGGTGGTGCGATATGCATGGAGCTGCTGACGCCTCGCGGCTGGGCATCCGCGTACACCGTGGAGGCGGTGGTGATGCAGTTCGCGGCGTCGGTCGTGAAGGGGCAGGGCCGGGTGGCGCGGGCGCCGACTCGTCCCTCCTGCGAATTCTCGCGGCGTCGCGCCGAAGAAGCGTTCCGCTCCGTCGTAAAAACTCACGACAAATACGGCTGGGTCACGCCCGCGTTGTCTGATGGCTGAACTGTACAGGTATATAACATTCTTCTTTTTGCTCATAAACAACGAAACAAAGTTACTTTTTTATCGGCATCACATTTTATCGGCATAGACATCACAACTCATCCAATTTTGTAAAAGGAACACGTGGCTACTTCGTGGCGGAAATAGGCAGGATGGCGGACGGTTTTTTTTTGCATAGGTAGATGGACGAGCTCACAGCCCACCTGATGTGAAGTGGTTACCGGAGCCCATAGACATCTACAACGTAAATGCCGCCATCCACGTTGAGATATGAGTTCTAAGGTCTCAGTATAGTTACATGGCTGCCCCACCCTTCAAACAGAAATGCATTACTGCTTCACGGCAGACGTAGGCCGGGTGGTGGTACTTACCCGTGCGGACTCACAAGAGTTCCTACCACCACTACTGTACAAAATAAGTTTAACGGCCGACCGCCTGTCTGACGTCACCATTCTTCGAAGTCAGCAGCAAATTTAAGTAGATAAGAGGTTACTTGCTTCTCGTGTCATTCAATCATTCAATTTATATTTTTTTAAACTGTCCCTAATTCGTTTCTTGATCGATGGTAAAGCAGGTTGTGGCGTCATCACGGTTGGTGGCTGTTCCTCTTCATACGTACATATCCAATTTATATGATGGAATATTAGCACGCTGTGGTTGGAGTCATGGCTTGATATGATCAGTGCCCGGACTCGTACTATTCGCATATAACATCCTCAGACCTCTTATAGCTAGCTATAATTATAAAAATTCGCAATGGCCATGAAATCGCTTCCCAACGCAACTTTGTTCGTGTACAAATTTAACTAACAAATATACATTGCGTTTATTTCGTGGAAGTCTTTAGAACCTCAATTTAAAGTTATTTTAACAAAAGCACGATATTTTTATCTACATCGGGAAATTGCACATACTTAACTCATTATTTATTACCCGGCACTAAACCTAAACGATCACGAATCCATGTAGATAGGTATGCGTGAAGTTTTTGTATTTATTCACGGAGCTGCATTGATCGTGTGCCCGCTGCACGCCGCGCCGGTCAGTAACATTGACCTAAATTCATGAAAGTAAAGGAAATCGTTCAGCTACAACCGTCCGGGATATTTCATAACACCATCAATCAATTTAGATGGGCAATTGGCTCAGTTCTCGAATGCTATAATCAAGAGCAGGACGAAATCGTATCAGTGCGTTCAACCATTGTGTTTTAAGAAACCTTGACAGATTTGTTCGATCCAAACGTCCGTATGTCACAAGAATTTTATTCGAACACTGCTGGCACCGTTTAGATGGAATTTGAATAACCAATGAAATTTTAGAATAAAGGGCACATACGCATGTGCGTGTCGTAATATAGGTGTTAAAAAATAAGAACGTTTTGTGTTTTTTTTTATGGAAATTATTCTGTGAGTAATGCAATTCGAAGATTTTCAGCTGAGCGAATAGCTGATAGTCCAAATCTTATTTTATGCAGTTTTTACGTGGTAAAGCGTTTTCTGCGCAGGAACAGGAGATATTCTAATCCTAAATATTTATCCCGTGAAGTTATAATACGTTCTGCTACCCTTCAGGCGGGACTGCCGTTGTAAACCGCAGACAATCCTGATGGGGGGTTATCTGTGTTGTAAACATACAAAAAAATTCTTGTGAGACTTCAACGTTAATGTATGTCTGCGGTGTCAATGGACTCCATTAACCACCTGAAATCTGATAAGGAATAATCTTCCAAGTAACAGTTTTGGCCGAACTTCGACTAAGTACATTTTTTATACATATTTACTTATTAAGAATTCAATTTTTTTCGTTACAGATGGACAGAATCAACCGCAATGCAAAAAGATCTCCCTTAATTATTTCGAAGATAATTTTAAACTTAATTAGTGCAAATTTAAGTAACGCTCTGGTACCGTAAGAGCATTATATTTTCGTTTTGATTCATTAATTGATGGTTATGATATGCGAGCTTTGTAATTATTGCTCTGTGATACAAAATAATAGGTTTACTACTTATTTTTGTGCATTCTAGAATTCATCTATGTTGTAAATGAACCTTTCTAGAAATTGCAAACAAAATGAAATATATTTGAAATGTAGATATGTGTAGAAATTTAAAAGCGTCGTCCATATGTTTGACTAGAAGCTGATGTGTGTAGTTAATGTAAGTTACGTTCTCAATCAGTAGTCATTAAAATGAACCAATATGAATTAAAAACATTAATTGCTGAGTGCTTTTTGTCGACATTAATTTTTAAACATTTTCTATGTGTACAGTAGTTGTAGGTATGTGTCGTGATTTGTGCCAAAAGTACCACCCCCAACCAAGTGTAGAAAAAATAGGTTGCATTTAAATTAGATTATATCATTTTTTATTCAAACAATCACTGGTCGAAAACAAAATAAAAAGAAAATGTTTCCGTCCTTAAGTCACTTAAAATAATTTTCTATAAAATTGTAATAAAAAAAAAAGTATTAAATTGAATTTAATTCTAAAGTAGATTATCATCTTACATTATTTCACCTGATACTTCAAAGTTATGGTATTTATAAAGTATCAATTTAAAAGAATTTGTATGCTTATTGTCTTCGATCGTGATCGATGCTTGATGTCGTATTGTAGCAAAGTCAAATTATAATATATCTACTTGGATTTTAAAATTTTTAATGTATTTTTGAAGCTCAAATTATAGAGTACCTTACGTACTTTTAATTTTAATCTAAAGCCAGGCTTGGTTTAATCTTAATTACGTAAATGTGTAATTTTACAATACCTATAAACCAAAGATATTTTATGTGAACCTCTTCAGTTTAACATATGGTAAAATAAAAATCAATGTACAATACACATTTATAGCTGTATTAAATTACCTGCTCAAAATGCAATTGTTTTATTTAATTTGTCATTTATCCTCAACAAAAACAGCCATATTATTGTTGAATTAACCTATTTAAGGTAGTAATGGCCCTCAGAATTGAAGAAAAGGAAGTGAAGGGAAGAGCAATGTTTCCTGAGGAACAATTCACAGAGTGATCACTATCCCAGCTGTCTAAAATATATACCATTTATTTTCTATAAATTTCCCAGTCGTGCGCGGTGTTCCACAGGGGTCGGTGCTCGGCCCCGTTTTGTGGAATATCGGGTATGACTGGGTGCTTAGGGGTGCCCTCCTCCCGGGCCTGAGCGTAATCTGTTACGCAGACGATACGTTGGTCGTGGCCCGGGGGGGGGGGAGTTTTGCTGAGTCTGCCCGTCTTGCTACCGCTGGGGTGGCGCATGTCATCGGCAAAATCAGGGGATTGGGCCTCGACGTGGGGCTCAGTAAATCCGAGGCCATGTAGTTCCCCAGGCCCCGGAGAGTGCCACCTGTCGATTCCCATATCGTGGTTGGAGGTGTCCGTATCAGGGTCGGGGTACAGTTGAAGTACCTCAGCCCCATTCTGGACAGTCGTTGGACCTTCCGTGCTCACTTTCAGAACCTGGTCCCTCGTTTGTTGGGGGTGGCCGGCGCGTTAAGCCGGCTTCTGCCCAACGTCGAGGGCAGACGTCTGCCCAACCAGGTGACGCGCCGTCTCTATACGGGAGTAGTGCGATCAATGGCCCTATACGGGGCGCCGGCCAGTCCCCGGCCGTGGGCCCCCCCAAAAGACGACGTGCAAGCTGCTCTGCACGCATTTTATGCAAGAGCATCCGCGTGACGGAAGGCTGGCTATCCTCGACCCACGCTGGTTCTGGCCCAGCGGGGTATTCCGTAAGATAAATCACTCTAACCGGCGCCATCTAGACGGGCTTCGGATAGCCTGCCGACCGAGAGGACTTGTGGTCGTGGCGCCGACGACCGCCGGTCCGGCGTCCCGAGGGGAGGGTGATGGGAGAGATGTGCTCCGCACTAAACACTTCACTTTCCACCCTTTGCCTTTTCATGAGTTCTGTCGCATGCGAGGTTTGGATACTGGTTGTTGAGCGACAGGAGGTTTTAGTCGGTTCGACTCCGACATGCTCCGCCCACCATCACCAGTGGATGGCGGAAGTCCGGCGATTTCCTACTGACAAAAAAAAATATTATCTATAAATTACTGCCATATAATAAGAAGGTCGTTTATGGCTTTGCGATAGAACTCTGATGATCCAGATTCTACAATCTGTGTGAAAGCATTTTGTACTGAATCCTGGGAAGAAAACTTTTTATCACGTAGGAAATTGTCCAAATCACGAAAAAAATGGTAGTCCGTTGGAGCAAGGCCTAGGGCCTAGCGAATAAGGAGGGTGACGAATGGTTTCTAATTGCAGTTCCTGTAGAGTTAAAACGGTTATCATGAAGCAATAATGGATTCATCAGTCGGGGCTGTTTCACTGTAAGTTTTGCTATCATTGTTCAGAGTTCGGCACAGTAGACATCAGCCGTTAATGGTTGACCAGATCGGAGAAAGCTATAGTGCTGAGACCACCAAACAGTTACCCTTACCTTTTTATTGGTAAGCTTTGCTTTAGGACACTGTTACGGCGTTTGGCCTGGGGTCAGCCATTGCATTTTTCGCTCACGGTTATCGTAAAGAATCTACTTTTTGTCACATTTTACAATTCGATCCAATATTCCTTCATTTCAGTATCGATTCTACAAGGCAACACAAGTTTCAACACGCGTTTCTTTCTGCAGATCAGTCAAATCATGAGGTACCCATTTTTTCATATTTTTTGTTATTGATTTGACGCAAATGAGTCAATATTGTTGGTAAGGTAACGTTAAACCTTGCCGCTAATTCCTTGGTAGTTTGGCTCGGATCGGCTTCCACTATCTCTTTCAATTCATTGTTATTCACAAGTGTGGGCGGTCTTCCACGTGGTTCGTTCTTCAAATAAAATTTCCATCCCAAAAGCGTTTAAACTAAAATCGCACGGTGCGTTCATAGCAGTCCCCACCAAACGCAATTGACATTGTAAGCTGTTTCTGCAGCATTAGTTCCGCGTCGGAACTCGTATTCAAAAATCACTCGAATTTTCGAAGTATCCATCTTTTTTTGTCTAAGCGGAATAAAAAATAGAACTGAAAGCAGATAATCGAATGTTGCACACTTTTTAAAAGAAGAACCTCATAGGTACCATTTGAAAAAAGTTTTACTCAAAAATCTCAAACCATGAAGGTTCTATGTCAATTAGAATTAGCTACCTATTACAATAAAACGGCAATTTTATACTTTAACCCCTGTTATAAAGTGAACCTTTTTTTTTCAAATATTTTTGCTACTATATTATCTGAAGGAACTTCGTTTCTACCTGGTGTCCGATGACACCACTTCTCTTTTTTTTCTTATGATTAATTTGTAATAAATGAGTCATCTAATATCAAAGGCGGCAATATCCACTCTTGGCCGAAATTAAACCTTAGATGTCATTTTATTCATCTGTGGACGTAGTTTGTATCGAAAATTTCATTGGACATCAGATACGGCAATATCCCATGCAAAACACTATTTCAAATATGAAGTTTGTAACAAACACGACTTTGTCCCTTGCCATTCAAATCAAATCTGGCAATATCCATGTCGACCAATCAGAGCGCAGAATTTAGTATGGCGCCCACGCTGTTTGTAACTGACGACCGGTGTGTGTTTTTATTGTTTTTCGTCGAGTTTAAGTGTTATTTGAAAGTATATATTAAGAAAAACTTGAAATATGGAGTGTCGAGCATGTCCGAGTACATCCAATCAATCCCGAAAACGGACAGCTCAGCCAGAAACTTGGAAAAAAAACGTAGCAAAACGAGAGCGGTAAGTTACATTGCCTAAACAGGTTTGATACTTTCTAGACATATTTAAAATTTATTGCGTGGTATTTTTTATGTAATTACCTACATCATTATTATAGGATCAATATACATTGTAACGGACTGCAATAAAAAATAAGATGATCGGTTTGACTGTTACGTAAATTGTTGTACATTATGTGAAGAACATACTTGCAGTGTGAGCAGTAGGTCTTAATCATGTACAATGTATAATACATTATTGGTGATATAAGATGATGTGCTTTGGAAACTATCTTTTGCATATTAGTTAAAAATGTTTACCAACAAAGCATATACAGTCCCCCGCACAGTTTACCGGTTGCATATATGTACCTACATTGCATAATTTATTAATGTCATGTGTTTTATCTTCCAAAAGGTACTCATCGGTTACACTTCCAACAAAGCCTATGTGCCAACACCGTAAAGGAGTTTTTAAATGCGGAGCACTAACAATGCGAGATTTGACGACTTTTCATAGTGCATTTTATAAACACCCAGAGAAAGAAACTCAAGATGCTTTTCTTCTCAAATACTGTACTGCTACAATTCCGAAAAGAAAAAGACCTACGACTAAAACACATACCCCAAAAAAATTTCATACAAAATTCACAGTGTATAGCATAGAAGACAAAAAAAGAATTCCTGTTTGTCAGAAAGCTTTCCTCGGCATCTTGAATATAACAAAACACAGAGTGCAATATATTATAAAAAAGTTTTTAGAAACTGGTGGGGAACCAGTGAAAGAGAAAAGAGGAGGTGATCACAAGTCACATTTATTCACAGAAAAGAAGAAGTCAGTGATGCTATTTATTAACATGTTTCATGTTGACGAACCGCATTATTGTCGGGGACATTCACAGCGACGATATTTGCCAGCGACACTTTCCATCAACAAAATGTGGAAAATGTACAATAACCAACCAAATATCGAAGTACAGTTAAAAGTTACGAAAGGTTATNAAGGCGGCAATATCCACTCTTGGCCGAAATTAAACCTTAGATGTCATTTTATTCATCTGTGGACGTAGTTTGTATCGAAAATTTCATTGGACATCAGATACGGCAATATCCCATGCAAAACACTATTTCAAATATGAAGTTTGTAACAAACACGACTTTGTCCCTTGCCATTCAAATCAAATCTGGCAATATCCATGTCGACCAATCAGAGCGCAGAATTTAGTATGGCGCCCACGCTGTTTGTAACTGACGACCGGTGTGTGTTTTTATTGTTTTTCGTCGAGTTTAAGTGTTATTTGAAAGTATATATTAAGAAAAACTTGAAATATGGAGTGTCGAGCATGTCCGAGTACATCCAATCAATCCCGAAAACGGACAGCTCAGCCAGAAACTTGGAAAAAAAACGTAGCAAAACGAGAGCGGTAAGTTACATTGCCTAAACAGGTTTGATACTTTCTAGACATATTTAAAATTTATTGCGTGGTATTTTTTATGTAATTACCTACATCATTATTATAGGATCAATATACATTGTAACGGACTGCAATAAAAAATAAGATGATCGGTTTGACTGTTACGTAAATTGTTGTACATTATGTGAAGAACATACTTGCAGTGTGAGCAGTAGGTCTTAATCATGTACAATGTATAATACATTATTGGTGATATAAGATGATGTGCTTTGGAAACTATCTTTTGCATATTAGTTAAAAATGTTTACCAACAAAGCATATACAGTCCCCCGCACAGTTTACCGGTTGCATATATGTACCTACATTGCATAATTTATTAATGTCATGTGTTTTATCTTCCAAAAGGTACTCATCGGTTACACTTCCAACAAAGCCTATGTGCCAACACCGTAAAGGAGTTTTTAAATGCGGAGCACTAACAATGCGAGATTTGACGACTTTTCATAGTGCATTTTATAAACACCCAGAGAAAGAAACTCAAGATGCTTTTCTTCTCAAATACTGTACTGCTACAATTCCGAAAAGAAAAAGACCTACGACTAAAACACATACCCCAAAAAAATTTCATACAAAATTCACAGTGTATAGCATAGAAGACAAAAAAAGAATTCCTGTTTGTCAGAAAGCTTTCCTCGGCATCTTGAATATAACAAAACACAGAGTGCAATATATTATAAAAAAGTTTTTAGAAACTGGTGGGGAACCAGTGAAAGAGAAAAGAGGAGGTGATCACAAGTCACATTTATTCACAGAAAAGAAGAAGTCAGTGATGCTATTTATTAACATGTTTCATGTTGACGAACCGCATTATTGTCGGGGACATTCACAGCGACGATATTTGCCAGCGACACTTTCCATCAACAAAATGTGGAAAATGTACAATAACCAACCAAATATCGAAGTACAGTTAAAAGTTACGAAAGGTTATTTTAGAAAAATTTTCAATAATAAATATAATCTCGGTTTCGGCAGCCCCCGGACAGACGTATGCTCAATATGCCTTCAACTGCTAGAAAAAATTAAAAGAGAAAAGATTGAAACGCTAAAGCAAGGATTTCGGATAGAGCACAGAGTCCATAAGCTGAAAGCCAAAGCTTTCTTTAATTTAGTAAAAGCGGAAAGACCTGATTTGAAAACATTTTCTTTTGATTGTCAAAAGAATCTGCCTTTACCCAAAATACCCGATCAAATAACTTACTATTCGCGGCAATTTTATCTGTATAATTGTACAGTCGTAGAAGGTTCGTCAAAGTCTCCTCTTACGAAAGACAATGTCTTTGCTTACTGCTGGACCGAAAACGAGTATGCTAAGGGCTCCAATGAAATTGCATCCATTGTATTTCATAGATTAAGAAATACAGACTTAACTGGTATAAAAACGGTGAGACTAATAGCCGATGGATGCCCAGGGCAAAATAAAAATACAACCATGATCGCAATGTGCTCAAAATGGTTAGTAGATTTGGCTCCTAATCATGTGCGAAAAATTGAAATAGTTTTCCCTGTGGTGGGACATTCCTTTATCCCGCCAGACAGGGTATTTGCTCATGTGGAAAAAGATGTGAGAAAATTTGAATCCATTATAAAACCAGAAGATTACCTGGAAATAATAGGCACACACAGCACTATTGTTCGATTAGGTTCTGACTGTGAGGTATTCGACTTCAAGAATAGTATGGGCACGGTGATAAAGGATGTAGGGTCTTGGCACTTTCAGTTTAAAAAAACCAAAATATTTTATATACAACGATCTGCCCAGGCAGACAATGTTGCAGTACAAGGCGAGGTACACTTTAATAATACTCAAGGTGTTTTGAAAAAGGTGACTCGGAGAAATAAAAAAGTCAGTGACATGAACCCCGAGGTCATTCGAATAAGATCTGTAAAAGTAAAACCTGCTAAAGTAGCAGATGTCAAAAAACTGTTAAGCAGCCATTACGGTGATGATTGGCAAAACGAGAATGGATTAGAGTTTTATGTAAACATTTTCTCTCAAACATCAAATGTAGAAGATGACGAAGATAATGACCCAACAGAATTACTTTGTGAACCACGTATTGAAGATAACTGTGTAATCTAACATTGGAGAGTAATGTCTGAAATTTTTCAAACTATAATTTTTAAAAATAATTCTTGTTTTTTTCATTTATTTAAGAATAAGATACTGTATGATTCGAATGTTAATACCTTCTAAAAAAACCATTAGTCTTGTAAAATATTATACGATCTTATGTAATTGTACCAAAATTGCCTACTAGCTGATATTCTAAAATAAATAATTTCTAGTATCGTTCTTACATGTTTATTTCATGTCTTTAGGTTCAAGGTAATATCGAAATTCAATACCCATTCATAAAGTATCAACATTTTATAAACTATGAGACACCTTTTAAACATGGCGGACAACTCTAACAAACATGGCTTTCTCCATCCCCGTCTAGATCAAATCTGGTAATATCCACATGTTTCTATCAAATTCGGCAATCTCCAATGATTTTACGTAAATATCTTGTCTGTTTGATGATAAATATTTAAGGAAACCATTGTAAAGTGTTCAGAATGTTGTTAATTTATTCTATAATTAGTCTCAAAGCAGTAAGATAATAAATTTCTCTGATTATACAAATTTGTCATTTTCTACAAATCTACTTAAGTGGATATTGCCGCCTTTGATATTAGATGACTCAAATATATAATATAGTATAATACAATAGTAAATTATTTCCCATGTACAAAATATGACAGCAATACAGGCAGTAGAACATCTTGCGAGTCCACTTGGGTAGTTACCACCACCCTGCCTATTTCTGCTGTGAATCAGTAATGCATTTCGGTTCAAAGGATGGGACAACTGTTGTACTGTAAAAACTGAGATCTTAGAACTCATATCTCAAGTTAGGTGGTGGTAGCATTACATTGTAAATATCTGTAAGCTCCGGTAATCATTTAACACCAGGTAGCCTCTGAGATTGTCAAAATTTCTAAGAAATAAATAAAAAAATTGATTGTTGTAATCAACTCAGCAACAAATGTGGATCAATTTTAACATCAACATAAAATCTCAAATCATTTTAAATCAGTCTACAAATTAATATTACAATAATTTGTAGACTGATTTAAAATCTCACAAACTCTTTACTAGTTCATTTATAGTTTGGTTTTACAAAATATGCAAAAATTATGAATATCTACATAATAATTTCACTATTGTTTAACCATTATATTGAGGTAATAAGTATGTACCTAAGGTCATAAGGTACTTAGGGACACTTCATAAAATGAATGAAAGATTTTTTTACATATTATTTTATATGTAATGAAAAATAAAACTTAATTTTATAAATACAAAGGAAAATTATCACAAGCCAGATCATTCGCCTCCCCTTAAAGCCAAAACAAGATGAAGTACTGAACCTCCCTGAACTTTGTAATCTTGAGCTGTCTTCTCATCATTCCTAAAATAAATCATAATTACAACAATAATGGTAGCTACATAGAACATGATGAACTTGAATAGTTCATGTCTAACTTAATTTGATAACTGCAATCTAATAGTGATTCTAAAAGTTTTTTTAAAAGATTAGAAGAATTAAAGCAATCGGTCCTGAATGTTAGAGTAAGTTGAAGGTAGGAGTGATATCATAATATGTTTAACATCTTCATTAAAGATCAATGCACCTACGTATTTCGTGGGCGATGATTTTCAAAATTAAACTTACATTTGTTTTCCTGAAAATATGAGACGCTGTTGCTGCGGCGGAATGCCTTCCTTTTCTTCTACTCTTTCTTTGATTCTTTCCACTTTGTCGGTGGGTTCTATATCTATTTCAATTTCTTTACCAGTAAGCGTCTGGAAATCATTTAAATTACAGGTTAGATCGGCTTCTTTATTTATAATACAGTTTGAAAATACGTGACTCACCTTGACTTTAATCAACATTTTAAAAGAGTGTTATAATTATTGATCGTTATGTAGCAAGGAGATAAATTCGAATGACTATGTATAAAATTATACACCAATTACTTTTTTATTTTCGACCACTTTTCTAATAGGAGAGCAGTGCGCCCCTACAGCGATTGACATAAGTGTATCTATGGCGATTGACAAACACAATGACATAGTGACACTTTGATATGATTTGTAGGCAAAAGCATTGACATTTACTATTCGATTCAGCAAATCAAGTTTTTTTCGTTGTTTAACGATATTCGCATGTAACAAACATCAAATCTAGAAAAAATGTAATATACATAATTTCTGTGGATGGGTCGTTTAGTGAGCTCGCCCGGATTCGCAACCCGGTTCGTTTCTGCCGGCAAGAAGTAATGCGGTTCAGCTTGAAAAACGCGACAATATTTATATAAACTTTCAACTGAAGCCTAGGTTCCAGTACGTGAGAAACGTGGACCTCCACGACCACATGCGCCTAGAGTCCATCAGGAAATATTTACAATCGGCATCAGTGCGCCATTTCGAAAAAGCGGCACAACATAAGAACCCTCTCATTGTGGCCGCCGCACAGTGGGTCGATACTGTGATTTTAGTGACTTAGGGACCAACTTTGTTTTTTTATAAAAAAAATTATGTAGATAGATAGAGCTCGTTAATCTCAATAATAATTGTTTTGGGCAAAAATTACAAAAACTTTATAGTTTGGTCAGAAAAATGTGTTTTGTGATTTTTTTGTATGGAGCGGGTCACATTAAATTAAATTCCTGCTAAGTNTTAATTTAATGTGACCCGCTCCATACAAAAAAATCACAAAACACATTTTTCTGACCAAACTATAAAGTTTTTGTAATTTTTGCCCAAAACAATTATTATTGAGATTAACGAGCTCTATCTATCTACATAAAAAAATTTATAAAAAAACAAAGTTGGTCCCTAAGTCACTAAAATCATAGAATCGACCCACTGTGCGCCGGTAACTACATTCCTGATGCTGCCAACCGAATGGAAAACAGTCGACATTACCTTAAGCATGTCTTTTCGGATCCTCTCGATCCACTAACGGTGCTTTTAGGTACCTGAAGCACCGGTAATCGTTCTCGTCGAACCTATCATTTGCGACGAAGGGCTCGGTGAGAAAGTAAAGCCACAGACACAACTCACGGAGTTTCTCACCAGATCTTCTCATTTTAAATTAAAAATTAAAATAAGATATGACTTAAAAGTTTTAGTTACCAGGTTATAAAATCCCTTTAAAAAAAGTTTGATGTGATTGTCATAAATTTGTCTCAATTTAATTATGTAGGTATCGTTCTGTGGATTTGATTATTATTATCAAATAATGTCAGAAATAAAACATATATTTACTCAATTGGAAAATTTCCAACAAAAAGGTATTTAAAATATAATGTATTAAAATACTTATCTGCTTTTTTTCATTTTCATTAGTTCACAAATGTGTTTAGGAATAGTTTTGTTTCTGTAAAATACTTCTATGATCAGTATACACGCCTGAATTTTAAGCAAAAGGAAGCGAAGGCGAGGTCTAGGAGCTTACCTGATTATAATTGATTTTGGACACTGAATTAAATCAGCGATGAATATTTCTAAACAGTTGTCTTCCTTGACGATTTTGTTTCTATTTATTCTTTAATAGGTATAAAGTAAAATGCAAATTAATTCATTAATTCAATTTATAATGAACTATAAATTTAAATTTCAGATGGTCCTAATAAATTTATATCAATGTTCATTAATGAGCATACTAAAAACCAAGATAAAAGTAAAGGAGAACCTGATTTTGACAACTATGTTCTATTGAAAGATCTTTTACATAAAATATTCGAGGGAATAGATGAGCTAGCGACAGAAATAAGAAAGGATGATACCCTATTGATAAGTGTTAAACAACAGAAAGTTCTAAGAACATGCTTCCAGTTGGTAGCATCGCTTGGTGTTTCAACATGCCTTATACCTGGACTAGGAATTTCTATTTCAAAAAGATGCTCGTTTTCAAATACAATACCTTCCTTTAATTTAACTCAAGAACAAAAATATTCAATATTAGTTGATTGTACAGATTTTATTCACAGGTCATATGAAATACCTGTCTATAAAAACATAATAATGACCTTACATTTGTCTGACTACTTAGCAGCTCTAATACAATTGTCGTTTGCTCCGTTGAAGAAACCAGGAACATATAAGGACTTTGTCATGACTGAAGAAATGTACAAAACATTGACTAATGATAGACAAAAGTATCTAAAAATCTATGATAATTTAGTAAGTACCTGTTTCCAGCCTACACTCATGAAAGAGTTGCTTGTATTACAGAGTATAACAGATCCGACACCTCCGGCCTTTCTTCAGAGGGTAATTTCAAATGAGATGAGTAAAAGATTGTTGGCCTCAGGTGGATTGTTAAGTTTGATAAGATGCTTCATTGAAAGCTATAATGCTGATACTGGTTGTGAATGGAAAAAAATTGATATGATCTGCAGGATAGTATCAGTTGTGCATAAAGGTTACTCTAAAACTGATTACTTAAAAAACATGTGTTCACAGTTGAAACAAGTTTTATCCTTAAACAATAGACAGTACTCATCAACTGGTATAGCATGTTTACTTACACTATATGACAAGTACAAAGATGATATATCTGTTTCTGACTTGGTCAAAGGAACATTCAACACATTAAACTATGAAACTATGATTTCTAACTCTAAACTACCTGGCACTCTTATTTTTTCTCCACAAGAAATAGAACAAAAAATCAATATTCTACATTCATGTACATATTTGAAGATAGAGTGGCCTGCGGAATTAATAAAACCTAATATTTATGTATTATTCTTAATTGGAGCAAAGTGTACAAAGAATGTAGATATGCAAACAAAAGTAAAAGAGCTACTATTGAGATGTATGGAACAATTAAATAAAGAGGAAGTTTCAAGTATAATATATAAAATTTTAATTGAACAAGATCATCTACAGTCAGCAGATATATTGGTTGAAGAATATGATGCTGGAGTCACTATAAAAGCAATTTCAGAGAAAGCTGTGTTAAAGAAAGACCAGTTACTTATTTATTTCTTGAAACTATTTGAAGCTTCAGGTGATAGTTTGTTTGTTGCCAATGTCTTTGAGGTCTCTTTATTGATAGCTACAGAGTTAAATATACAGAGGAAAAAAAAGCCAAATAAAGATATGCTGTTGGTAGAAGATGATGATCCAGTATTGATTGATAAAATTGATGAGCAATATGCCTTAATATTGCAGTTACTCTCTGAGATATCCGACACACCCAAAATAACTAGGTCATTAAAAAAGAATCCTCTCATTGTAGTTCAGTTTATAGAATATTTCATTGTCCAAAATTACAATTCAGAAGAAGAATGCTCCACAGTCGCTTTAGTTCTTTTGAATATAATTTTGTCAAATGCTATAAAGGGGGACAGTTTGCAAAGTACATTGGATCGACTGAAACCAGTGTTGGAGAAAATATCAAAAGATGACTCTAATTATAACCATTTGCTTGCCAAAGAAGCCCTGTCCTACATCAACACTGGGAATTGTGAGAAAATAAATTCCAAATATGAAAAAGCTGTGGCAGATGTACTTGACTTCTTATTACCTGTCAGAGCTCATGGACTCATTGAACTGACAAAGCTAATAGATTCTGCTGATCCTGAGACTATTTCTAAAAAGCATTACATATTCTGCATATTTCAGGTATCTAAATTAATTCTATACCTATATTCTAACTGAAATTAATATACTCAGAAAGTGAATTGCAAAATTATTCACATAGTATTGACCTTTCATCATATAATCATCATATAAACGTCATCATATAATAATAGTCATCATATAATCGTTTGAATGTGCAATAGATATTGATCTAAATTTTAACCATGAATATATGTACTATACAATTATATTAATTTAATTTCAGGAACTACTCAAAGACAATGACTCTTACATTTATCTATCAGCTATAAATGGCTTAGCTTCACTGTGTATCCATTGTACTGAAGACGTCCTGCATGTACTATGTAAAGAATTCCTAAAACAAGTTTCAGAACAAAATCAAATAGTCACTCAAGAAGTCGAAAACAAAATAGCAGAATTGAGAATGAAAATCGGTGATGTTATTGTTCAAGTAACAAAAAGGCTAGGTAAGAAACTAGTGTATATTAATATAGTAAAAGTAAACATTTTTCTTAGCCAAATTCGGAGCCATGAGCTAATTAATTACATAACGTATCATTAAACGTTTGTAGGTATACGACAAAGGGAGCATCTTTCACCGAGCGTGTGCTTGGTAGACCAACGGGCCAAATGTTGTTGCTTTTTTTCCTACCTGTAGTGATGGTCTTGAGAGGCCATTTCAATGTAACCCTAACAAGTAGGTGAGCTCACGAGGGCTCAAACCTGACGACGTTTCTAACACTAACCCTAGCAAGAGCAGTGCTTCGCAGAATCTACCACCGGATCGGAAATGCGACTCACTGAGAAGATCCAGCGAGAAACTCAGTGAGCTGTGTCTGTGGGTAAATTTACTCGCCGAGCCATTCGTTGCAAGCGACGGGTTCGACGAGAACGATGACCGGGGCTTGAGATACCTAAAAGCACCGTTAGTGGATCGGGAGGATCCGAAATGACGTGTTCTGGCTGACGTCGACTGTTTACCATTCGGTCCGCAGGATCGGGAATGAACTTACCGGCGGCCACTATGAGAGGGTTCTCGTGTCGTGCCGCTTTGTCGAAATGGCGCATTGATGCCGACTGTAGATACTTACTGATAGACTCTAGGTCCAGGTCATCATGCAGGTTCCTGACGAACCACGGGGCTCCGGCGGCTGTCCTGCAAAAACGGGATTGAATAACTTGGGAGTGGTTTTAAGTTAGTCTGAGCCGCGTGAGCGAACACTACACTTGTATAGGTCATGACGGGGCGTATGCAAGTTTTGTAGAGTGTCACCTTATTTCTAAGAGACAATTTACTTCACTTGTAAATTATCCGATAGAGGCGTCCTAGTATGAAGGCGGCCCAGTCGCGTACCGTCTTTAAGTGGGGGCGGCATGTCATTCCTCTGTCGAGGGTGACGCCTAAGTATTTAAACTTCGGGGCCCGCGGTATGGATTGGGTGGAGACGGAGGTTTTAACGCGTCTAGTCGGGAGTGGGATGCTCAAAGTGGTATTCGGAAGGCGACCCTTTTTGAAGAGCACCGCTGTGCTTTTCGTGGGGTTGATGTCGATACACCACTTCTGGAACCACTATCCCATGGTGGTACCTGCGGTCTGGAATCGCCGATGCAATAACGACTTCTTCCTACACGAGTAGTAGATATCCGTGTCATCGGCGAAGAGCGCCAGATGGGTCTCCGAAAACCGGGGTATATCATTGATATACAAACTGAACAGTAACGGGGAGAGGGCGGAGCCTTGCGGGACTCCGGCTGTTATGTGACGGGGGCGAGAGCGCGTTCCCTCGACTCGATATCGGAACGAACGGTTCGACAAGAAGTATCGTATGATGAGCACGAGTCTGTCTGGCACTCCTATGTTATACAGTATATCATACCGTTGTGCCAGACTTTGTCGAACGCCTTCGCTATATCGAAGAAGAGGGCTCCTGACGGGATGGTGTGACAGTAATACAACTGTCACGGCATTGACCTATACTGGAACACTCAGAACAACTAACAGTTAAGCTGTATAGAGAATTTCTGCTGTGTATTTAGTCACTCGTTCTTCCAAAACGAAAAATAAAGAAATCCGTAAATATACTAAATAAGAGTTCCTTCCTAATATCATATGTTGAGAAGTAAATCATTTTGAAATTATGGGCAACCGCTAATGACCAAACACTGTCTTAAAAAAAAAACAATAAAAAAATATATTTTTCCAGGTGATATGGCAATAGTGCATAAAACGGTACTCCTCAATACAATGCTGTGTGGATGTCGAGATGATGATCCACTAATCAGAACATCTGCTATCTCCAATTTAGCTGAAATAGCGAGAGTCCTGCACTATAAGATGGGTACTATTATTTATGAGGTGTGTATACTTTATCATAATAAAATTTACAGTTAAATGGGCTTAATGTGTTTAAATCCCGCAACCAGATACAATTTGTTCTAATTTTAACTGTATTTAAATCGTGTCCATTAATGGCTTGCACAATGACGGTTTAACAATGTGTTTTTTTTGTTAATTATTTTTTATTGCTTAGATGTGTGGACGAGCTCATAGCCTACCTGGTGTTGTGGTTACTGGAGCCCATAGACATCTACAACGTAAATGCGCCACACACCTTGAGATATAAGTTCTAAGGTCTCAGTATGGTTACAACGGCTGCCCCACCCTTCAAACCGAAACGCATTACTGCTTCAAGGCAGAAATAGGTGGGGCGGTGGTACCTACCCGTGTGGACTCACAAGAGGTTCTACCACCAGTAATTACGCAAATTATAATTTTGCGGGTTTGATTTTTATTACACGATGTTATTCCTTCACCGTGGAAGTCAATCGTGAACATTTGTTAAGTACGTATTTCATTAGAAAAATTGGTACCCGCCTGCGGGTTTCGAACACCGGTACATCACAAGATACGTATGCACCGGACGTCTTATCCTTTAGGCCACGACGACTTCGAATATAATTATAATTTGCCTAATTGCCTGTGTAATATAATTATAATTTACCTAATTACTTAACAGTATGGCGGCATTTATGTTCTGACGTCTGTGGGCTTCGATAACCACTTAACACCAGGTGGGCCGCAAGCTTGTTCAAACTTGAACCCTTAAAACTTGACAGAGTAGAAAAGACATGATTAAACTATTTCTTATTTATATAAAGATAATCTATAAGTAATGTTGTTCGTTTTTAGGTTTTACTCTGTATTTGGAATATCATAGGAACCGACAACGCAGTAGAATGCAGACGAGCCGCCGTCATGGTGATCGCCAATTTAATAAAGGGCCTCGGAAAAGAAACGCTACTTGAACTCAAAGATAATTTACTACCGATTTATAGGACATTGAAAAATGTATACAGAGACGAAAATGAGGATCCGGTTTTGAGGCTCCACGCTCAGTTGGCCTTGGAAGAACTGAACGATGTCGTTAAGGATTTTCTATTTCCAGAAATAAAAATGGAAAAACAAATATTTGTTATCGATCGACCGGACGTTGTGTATAAATAAAAAACCAACTTTGTACATGTTTCTCTTTTATTTTAAATCAAACTTTTTTAACCTCACATTTAGTGCTTGCTATGTAGAATGTTACAATACGATTAAATTTCTAAACTCTTATAATAAGATAATTACCTACACTATAAATCTAAAATTATATTAATCAATCGAGTATTCAAAAACCTCAATAGAATGTTCAAGCAAACTATTCAAGATTTGACTACCCAAAATAAGTCTTATCCATTTGAAAATAGTCCCCTTATCCAATTTACCTATGGCAAATTTGTAAAAAAACAATACTTAATTCAGTGCATCACAAATACTAACTAATACAGTAGAGTTAAACAGCAAACACAAAACCCAAAAAATTAAAGGGACTATTTAAGAGAGCCATCCCTTGTTGACTCTTATCTCGACACCTACATGTATACTGCGAGAAAATATCAAAGAAAGAGTGACTCCATTGTGTCCACAGACACGTATTCCCCGGTTACCTGGATAATGACATTTTTTTGTTTTGCAATATGTGCTATGCTTCTCTGCGAAATTGTTTGAGATTATCCCATCATATTGATTTACCATACCGCACCGGCAGCAGAGTTCATAAAGCGTTTCTAAAATAAATTATCTATGGTTTATCTTGAATGTTATGATTTGTCTCTCATGTTTGATTCTGCTTCATCTTTTGATAGGCAGCAACTGGGCATTGCCAATGTACATGACGGTGATCAATAATCTTTTGATGGGCCGTATGTCTACAAATGTATGAAAATATCTATCACCGTGATTCGCTCGTCTTTCGCTATTTACAGACATTCAGCAAACGAAATTTATGTTGAAAAATTTAAATACGACACATCCTTTCGTAAATTAAGTATTTTTTGTAAAATAATATTTAAATGTGTTTGTTGTGCCGTGGCTGTTGGGAAGAATGAAGCAGAGCAATATAAAATGATGTGTTTTGCTTCATAGCTACTTTCATGCTTAAGACAGGAGACTCCATTATAGAATGCTATTAATGCTAATATCAATAAAGTGTATGAATTACAAAAACTCCGTTCGCGTCATTTGTTTTAAATCTTCTTACTTTACATGCAATCTGAAAAACTAGTCAAATAGATAAGGCAAAAATCACTGACGATACCGCCTGTCGTACCCGGGATAATTACGTCACACCCCAGTCAGTGTAGTATTAACCATTTAATGTCATTTAGAGAATGTTATTAGTTCGTATTATTAGTTATTTCCTTTCACGCTTCTGAAGTATTGTCAGCTTCAGTCGGCTTCTTCACTACCGCATCTTTATCTGATAACGTGATTGAGTAAATAGAACCGTGGTCTGAAAATCTGTCTCTGTTTCGCCTGTTAAATATACTGGTAGGAGATAAAGACGATATTGTCGATGCAGAAGCGTTGTCTTTGGCGCTTTGTGGGACAACTTTCCAGATTAATAAAGCTATTCCCCCGAAAGCAGCTACAACCAAAAACATTACCAAAGTGATCTCACTATAACCACCTGAAAGAGAAGAAGATAGCGATTAGAGAATTTGAGTGATTATTTTAATTCCAGAAGTAGCGGTTCCAACATGTCAAGAGATCAATGGGTTGTTTTCTGCGGACATGGCGAACATGAGAAATCATGAATTTAAATATACCTAAGTAGATCTATCTGCCGACTTTGTATTAAGTGCTGACTGTTCTTGAGTTATGAAGCTTAAAATTGAATTGTACTAGGTATGTAGTGGACATCCCACCATTCAAAGTAGGTACAATGCGAGACTGTTTCGCGACAAAAATAGATAGGAAGACGATGGAAATTCCGTCAATTATCTTGACACATGAGGCGGAATTCTTAATTGTTTTGTAAATCGACTCTTGGTACAATACGCCGTATACGATAACTTAATTGAAAATTTTTGCATTCGAAGTCTAGTTTGTGACTAAGATTGGGGAAGGGGAGGGTAAAGATTCTTCTGCCTTCTGTATACTATTATTTTTGTAAATTTTAACCTGATTTAGTTTCTTCCTTTATGGCTTCAAGTCTCGCTGGTCTGAGTTCATTATAGTCCATATCTTGATGCTCAAAAGGCTCCACATCGCCTGTGTGATGAGAATTGAAACTATTCAGGACATCTCCGGGGCTGGACTTAGGTAAATTAATGCCCGCTCGCACTGTCAACGTCTCCGGCTTATACGTGCATATTACAAGGAAACTGAAAAGAAACGAAAACTCACTCATCACTGTATACAATCTATGTACTACGCTTAAACATGTACAAATAGATAACAGTTTAGTTTTAGGTAGGGCACTTTATGAACTAACCATGGTAAAACATTTATATAACCAGCAATGAACGCTTGTAGAGATTTTTTGGCCCACTGAGTTTCTCGCCGGATCTTTTCAGTGGGTCGCGTTTCTGATCCATGGCTGATTCTGCGAAGCACTGCTCTTGCTAGGGTCAGTGTTAGCAACACTCCGGTTTGAGCCCCGTGAGCTCACTTACACGTTAGGGTGAAGCTGAAATAGCCTCTCAAGGCTATCAGCATAGGTAGTAAGAAAAAAAAAGTTGAGATTTCTTCTTCATCTTAGAGGTTGGAAATTGTTATTTCAAGCATTTTAGGTATGAGGTAACATTAATGTAAATACATAAATAAACTGATAATGACGGATTTGCGGAAAAACAGGAAGGCTGAGCAAGTTACTTCAAGAGAAAACTTCACGGGAGCATAATCTAATGAGCAGTATCTTCGTGCGAAAAAAGGGGTTTTATTATTAAAAGTAGTTACCGTCGTGTGCTATGGGTTAGAATAGGTAGATTCTCTTGAACGATAACGTATGTAGCAACGGTTGTCTCGTTCACGTCGGACCCACACTCGTCGTGATGGATGCGTAAAATGTATGCGTCTTGTGCGCTGTTCGGATTGCCTCGTATGGAGCACCGCTCTGGGCCGCCGTCCGCTGCCTCGACGGCTATGCGACCGCCAAAATAAGGTCCCGTCGACACTTCGACTTCGCTCGCGTGGGGTAAGCACTGGATAGCTCGGGCTGAAACTGTTCCGAACGCGTAATTTTGTGAACTTAGTAAGTAAGGCTTTGTTACAGTAAATGTCAGGACGTATGGTGCGTCTAACGGTTCTGGTTACCTTTTAACACCAGTATGCTTAGTGCGAGTTTTTTTTTTACTTTCTCGATAGCGTAAAAGTTAGCCCAATTTTGTATGCAGTTAGAACAGCGCCCCTAGCGGCAAATGTAGGCAGACGATCCCATTCCATACAATTAATATGAACTAACTTTTACGCTATCGTGAACTTTAAAAAACTCGCACTAAGCACACTGATAGGCATTAAGCACGTTTGCTTATTAAACCTATCGAAGAACATTTTAGCTTGCATTTCTGCTGGTATAGATTAGTAGACGAAAAGTTTAAGGCGTAAAGCAAAGTATTACGAATATTCATATTCCCATCTGGAAATACGAGTTCAAATTTAAAATTGATTTGGCATAACGACCTACCCTTTAAGTTAAAATACAACTTTGCTTCAAAGCAGGAAAAATAATTTACTATGAAACAATATTTTTTGATAGGCTATAATTGTGAATCCTTAGCTACTCTTCCTGATCAATTTCTTTATTTCAAACGAGTATTCAATGTTCGCTTTTGCATGTACAGATTTCTGTATTGATATATCTAAGTCTCCAGCACCGGCATTTTAAATACTTGTATCTTACCGATCAAATTGACATTTAAAAAAGCATAATACATTATAAATTACTAACATCCTCTTGTGGGCACAATGATGATTTTCGATCCAATCGACTGCGGGTCGGCGAGGTCGCGTGCGTCTCGCCTCACAGGACGCACTTCGAATGAGTATGTGGTGGCCATGCGCAGACCGGTGATGCGTGTGCTATATGCACGACCGCGGCGCGCAACCGGACCCGATGTCGTTGTTGATGTATCTATTGTACTACTCGTGGACATCTCCTCCACCAAGTTATCTATGACCTAGGATGTTTATAAATTAAGATTTAACAACACGTCTTTTAAGATCAAATTCGACAATTGCACTTATAAATTGATTTTTGAAATCATTTATAAAATTTGTTTTAAATTTACAATCTTCTTCTTCTATTAATATAAAAATGAATTGCTGTTCGTTATTCTCGCTAAAACTCGAGAGCGGCTGGACCGATCTGGCTAAGTTTGGTCTTGAATTATTTGTGGTAGTCCAGAGAAGGTTTAAAGGGTAGATAAATATGAAAATGCTCGGAATTAAATAAGAATAACAATTTTGTTTTCCCTTTGATGTGTCCCCCGCCGGACGGATTCCTTTTGTTTGTTTTAAGTTTATTTTATACAAAACTTTAGGTCTTTTACTTATCGATTGAGGCACTACGAAGTCTGTCGGGTCAGCTAGTTTATAATAAATAGTTGGACCGATCAACGAAACGGCATTACGTATACTGTGAAAATAGCACAGCTGACGGAAAATTTCAGTCGTTATCGTGCAATACCTAAGTCACATTTTAGTTCTTTACGGAGCTCGTAGCTCAGAAGAGAAGTCCGAATAAACGGTTTTATCCGTAACCGGTAAGCGTGTTCCTTGTCGCACAACATTCACGGCTCGCGTACTCCACCACTATTATCTCCCGTTTGGAGTACTGGCTCATTATATGAGGCACACAATGTAGAAGGATAGGTAACTAACTGCTTTTGCGTCGATGTTCTTTTACGCATAAATTGAAACGGAACACGAATAAACAGCTTCAAGGTTTGCCCACTCATTAATATATTTATGAAATCAAGTTTAAAAGAAGAAATGCTGAGCTATATTATAATTTCTTAATAATTATTTAAAAAATAAATGAACATGCAATATTAAGCGAATAACTTTCATTGTGGTTTTACAAATAATTACATGTTTTATTTATCACTACATAGTATAAAACAAAGTCGCTTTCTCTGTTCCTATATGTCTTTATATCCTTATGTATGCTTAAATCTTTAAAAATACGCAACGGATTTTGATGCGGTTTTTTTTAATAGATAGAGTGATTGAAGAGGAAGATTTATATGTATAATAACTTCCATTAAATAGTGGAGAAATCAATAATAAATTAGTTTCCGAAGCGAAGCGAGGGCGGGTCGCTAGTTTATAATAACTATAAGTATACGAGTATATCGTTAATATAATGAATACGCGCATTATGTAGGTATGTACTGCTTTTATAAGACTGCAGGTTACTACCAATTTTGACTATTTTTCCCTTAAAAGAAGCTATTCCAGCTTCGGTGTAACTGTTAGGTGAGCTCACGGGGGTCAATCTGAGAGAATTTGCTAATACTGATCCTAGCAAGAGCAGTGCTTCGCAGAATCTATCACCGGATCGAAATCGCGACCTATTGAGAAGATCGGGTAAGATACTCAGTTAGTTGTGTCTATGGGTTATTTCGCTCGTCGAATTCTTCGTAATCGACAAGTTTGACGAGGACGGTGACCAGTGCTTGAAGAGTCTAAAAGCATGTGTACCTATTCGAGGGATCTGACAAGATATGTTTTGGGCGACAGCAGCTTTGCTTTGCCCCGTCATCTGGAACGGATATAATGAACTATATTACTGCACGCGTACCTTCGTACGACATCGTGAATGTCCCCAGGCTTGAAGTTCACAGTAGTGTACTTGAAACGCTAGAAGTTTCGGCTTATCTTTCTCATCAACTTTGCCATATTCCCAACGGAGTCGCACATCTCGAAAGTCCGGCTCTCCTATTAAATGCAGCACATCTGAAACAAATATGATACACATTAATTTTAATCGTAATATTCTTATACGAGCAATTCTTGTATATATATGTAATCTGAATCTCGGAAACGGCTCCAACGATTTTAATAAAATTTAGTATACAGGGGATTTCGGGGGCGATAAATCCATCTAGCTACGATTTATTTTCAGAACATGTTGTTTTATTCGTGTTTTCAATAATCAACTTTATCGATAATCAACTTTATGACTCTTCCCGACATCTATTGGCGAATAATAATACTATTTTTCTTAATTGAGGGCAACTAACCGCTTTAAAGACATAACAAGAGGGCGTTATCAAACAAAAAAAACCGGGCAAAGCTCGGTCATCATCTAGTTCTGAATTAAATCACGGTGTTGGATGATGTATTGTTATTATTTGACACGCTTTTATTATTGTAAAATAATTCGATCTGTATCTATCTGTGTAACGAAACCTTTCGGAGTAGTTTTACCAACTTCAAGACATCCGATTAATTTCGAAATTTGCACACGGATTTTGAATTTCACATATTATTATTACATACACATATGTACATGTTGTGTAAATATTTTATTAATTTTTAGTTCGATTTCTTATTAAAGCGTATTTTAAGCTATAGATATTTTATTTGTTGCGTAAACTAGCATATATATATTTGGTCTAAAGTCAATACCTTAAACGGAAACTACTAATGACAACAAGGCATTTTCCTGATTTTTTGTTTTTCTGACATTAATTTACAATGAATTTTGAATCTAGAATTTTTAATATTGCTATTTAATATTTCTGCTATTCTCAGATATACATCTAAAACATATAATGAATAAAAGAAAAGATTTTTCTGTTTTTGAATAAAGGACTATTCGACTTTTTTACACGGATATTTTAAATCCGGTTTGTAATTGTCCCTTTCGTGGTTTACTATAGAAATGTTTGATGTTCTTCCTGGCGTCTTCTACGGTAATACAATTTTTATTCATAAAATGTCTCAGCACCCATGTTTTTCTTTACGCCGGGTATCCAAAAGTTAGGCTATCCAAAGATACCACAACGCTAATACCGCTCTTTAACTTGGAACAATGAAGCAGACTTGCATTATTTAACTCCCTTCAAACCCAAAACGCACCACTGTTTCGAGGCAGAAAAAAGCATAATGCTAATTGAGATACCTGCCTGGACTTATATTATTGCACGATACTATCCTTCAACGTGAAAGTCGTTCGAAAACTTGTTAGGTTATTTTTGTCTGATAAATAGCCGGATATATTATAATAACAAGTACAATCCCGTGGTCTAGTTGTATCGTAATGACTACTGTACTGGGAATAACTAGTCTATCTCGAAGTCTACGTCCTGTGGGTATCTTAACTTCAAACATTAAGACGTTGAACGCCATGACGGACACCATGTATCAAAGGCGTACTTTCCTCTAGAGCCGCACGCACTCCAATATATATATTTGGGGTGTTTTTTCGTAAATATTGTCAAGAAATAACTCAAAATAATGTGGGGGACATACGGAAACAAAAGCTATATGTAATCATTATTTTACCCAACTTAATGGCGGTCACTTATTGTCCTCCGCGGCACACTGGGCTAAACAAGGGTTCTAGTCTGGCGTTCAACGTGTTAAAGAGAAAACGTTGACTCAATTTACATAGAAACTGTCCTAGACCTTTGATGGCCGCGGTCGTCTCACGCATGGATGACAACAGAGCGGTTCGAGCGAACCACTCACCTAATGACTTGCTCACTGGCCCGAACTTGCTTTAGATAATTATGTGTTACTTTCACGCATATGTATGTAATAAGATCCTATAGTCGCTATAACGAAAGTACGGGTTTTGAAAGTGCCGCGAACCGATTGGTAATAAGCAATAATTAAAACTGTGCCTGTATAGGAAAGTCTATGAAGCGCATAAGTGAAATTGAGCAAATCGTAATACTCGTGAGCTTGTGGTAGCTTAGTCATTCTTACCTATAGACGTGCTTAATATTTATACAAATTATTTTCGGTCATTAAAATTAAATTGATATAAACTTACTATTCACGTGTCTGAATAACTCCAAGTACGTAGTCACGGTAAGGTCTAGGGCACTCTAATCTATCAAGCCGTAACAAACCTTTCGCTAAATGGCGGTATTTATTTACCCTGGTCATGTGAAGAATATCAATAAACTTTATAATATGCGTGCTTACTTTACAGTTATTACGAAAAGCTTAAACTAAACTGCATTGGTGACCTTAAAACAAGTTAAAGCACTTCTTATTTATCTTTACATCTTAAGATTTTTGAAGAGCCATTTTTTTTTGAATTGTCTCATTAATTTTTTTATGAGTCAGTGTATCTAAGCTGCGGACATCTCATCATTTTGTAAAAGTGGAGCATGTTTTTAAAATGATGACAGGGCACATTTAAGACAATTTCCTCTAAAATGCAATCTAAATTTAGGAATATTCCAAATTAAAACCTCTGCAGTTTATTATTTCGTAGTTTCTTATTAAAACGAAAGTGATTAACAAAAAAAATATTTTAAAAACAACATACCTACGTAAATTTAGTCATTTCATGAATATCGTAATGCCATAAATGTCCTGACCTAAACAACAAGACCAGTAATGCGCCAAAAACGAAATACTATATAAAAACAAAAATAACATTTTACCGCAGACTACTGTTGGTTTCCAAAACAAACGTGACCTCGGACCAAGTAATGAGGAAGCTTCACGCTACCGCTTGCTAAGTCTAAGCGTTATTTATTTGAAATAACTATGCAGATTAGAATAAAATATAACAACCTGCAATAAAGTATATTTTGAAAATATTAATTAAATCCCATATTGCTAAATTTAATTTTTGATACAAAATTAAAGTATTTTTACTAAAAAAAAAAACAAATTATAATTATTTCGATTATTTTATCTCATAACGGTTTTATCGCATCAAGGATATGTCGTTTTTCCATCTGATTTTAAACGGCTATTGGAACTTATTGACAGTCCCTATTTGAATGCCATTGCCCACCTTGAGACGGAAATCTTAATTGCATTGTAATTTTTTCACTGTCTTTTTCTCCTTTAAAATTAACGAACGTCTCAATTACTTGGAAAACGATCAGCGTGTTAAAGTAAAATATTGCATTTTTCAGTATTTGCCTACTGACATTATTAGTACCGGAGCCAGCTATTATATTACTGTAGCAGCGGTATAAATGGCACAGATTGGCACGGGTATGACGGATGCGCGGGCATGACCTGACGACTGAACCGCGACGCCCATTGTAATCACCGGTATTGTTTAATAGCCAGGGCCATACAATTATTAGTACTATCTGTGTAATCAAAATAAAGAATCTAATGTATGTAATACTTTTTATTTTAAATTCAGTTCACAATTCACATAAGTAGAGAGGGTGGGTAGCCAGAGGAGCGTATGGTCTACCTGGTGGTAAATAGTCATCGTCGTTCATAAGCGTCAGCAATGTCACGGGCAAATGCAAGCCGCTGCCTACTGATCTCACTCTTCAAAACAGTTGCTTTTAGCTTTGTTGCAATGTAGTGTCAGAAAAAATAAAACTTTTTGAAGCGAAAACTTCTTTTTCTTTTTTTACCTACCTATGCCGATAGCCTTGGGAGGCTATTTCAGCTTCGCCTTAACGTGTGGGTTAGCTCACGGGGCTCAAACCGGAAATGCTGCTAACACTGGCCCTAGCAAGAACAGTGCTTCTTCCACCGGATGGGAAATGCGACTCACTGAGAAGATCCGGCAAGAAACTCAGTGGGCTGTGTAGGTTAATATACTCGGCGAGGCCTTCGTCGCAAGCAACGGGTTCGGCCAGGACGGTGAACAAGACTTCTTTAGTGTTCGGTGTCATTTAAAACTCAACAAAAGAAAAAAGCGAAATTAAAATTAGAAATATACCTACAAGATTTAGCCTGCGAAATAATAGAATGCCATTGAAGGTTTCACTACTACCGCGTTTGAAACGCGCGTTTTTTTTTTATTGCCGTCGAAGGGAAGCTAACTACAGTTAACTAAACCTATATGTACAAATAGTATTCGTAACCTTCAAAGAATTTACCAAAAACCAATGAAATCACAATGACACAATATTATTAACGTAGGTACTTTTAAAATTATAGTTAACATTTAATTCGTGAATACACAATTTTATGACAAATGTTTCGTCCGTATTATGCGGAGCGAGTGGCGCGAAACGACACAGCCAAACAATAGGGCTTCACGCGTTCTTCCTGTCCTGGCATTATTGGCCCATCAAATTCTATAGTGTCACCGGACCATTGTTCATATAGATTTTCGATCTACACTATAGTATGCCACTTCGATAAAGCGGCACGACATGAGAATCCTCTCGTCGTGGCCGCCGGTAACTACATTCCCGATCCTGCGGATAGAATGGAAAGCAGTCGACGTCGCCCCAAACACGTCATTTCGGATCCTCCCGATCCACTAACGCTGCTTTTAGGTACCTCCAACACCGGTCATCGTTCTCGTCGAACCCTCCACGAGTAAATTAACCCTCACACACAGCCGTTTCTCGGAGTTTCTCGCCGGATCTTCTCAGTGGGTCGCGTTTCCGATCCAGTGGTAGACTCTGCGAAGCACGGCTCTTGCTAGGGTTCGTGCTAGCAACGTCGTCAGGTTTGAGCACCGTGAGCTCACCTACTTGTTAAGGTTATGCTGAAATATCCTCTCAAGGTCGTCGTCCTCTCAAGCTAGGTAGAAAAAAAACTATATTATAAACTTTATTAAAACATCGCGCCTAGTATTAGTTACCCACCTCGATACCTACTTCAGACCACAATTGACTTTAATCGCGCAGGTCCAACCTCCATTGCACTTTATAGTAATCTGTAGTAAAATTAAATATAAGGAGGTCGATGATATGCACGGATGCCCTCACGTCGAGAACTCAAAGATCTGATTGTTTTAGGCTTGACAACAGCGACGTCATAACGGACTCACTATGCCTCTC